ATATATATATATATATATATATATATATATATATATATATATATATAAAATACGGTTTATTTTCCTTTAAAGAACACTCGCTCCTTTATTTTACTTTCCTGCCCCTTTGTGCAAAACGTTGTAGACACTATTTTAGTTGTCCAGCATACATGTGGCTTATTTTGTGGAAAGTGGTATGGAAGATGCCTTTTTATTAAATTCATGAATATTTCCCCCTTGAAATCACACACAAAAAAGTAACTAAAATCTTTCTCTTTATTTCTGTTACTTAATTTATCCACAGTCTCTAACCACAGTAATACATCTCTATTTCCAGCCTTTGTTATAAACAAAAGTTAATATTCTACAAGCCAAGTTATATATACTAGAAAGTGGAAGAGTCCTATAGATAATTCCTTTGTAATAATTTAAAACATTTGCATTAATCTTTCCTTACAATATGCCTTTTTAAAAATTTTTCCAAGCTACTCATCCACTTAGGGGCAAGAGAAAACCTTATTCATCTAACTCTGATAGGCATTTAACTAATTTACCTGAATAGAAGCCTTATTAAAACCCACGTAATGCATTCAGCCAACTTGGCATTGAATATAGCTTCTAATTCACTTCTCAACCCCAGACGTACAATGGTTTGCCAAGAATGAGACAGGTGTTGCCATGTCATCCTGTGTTCTAGTGTAAAGGGTGATAGCTGACCCCAAACATCAGTGGTGTTCCCAGACAAATGTAGAATCATGCTTCCTTTCAGGACCTGAATCTCCTCTGTTATTTTGCTAACAAGTCCCCACCCCATATCTTAAGACCTGGCCAGTACGTAGAACTATTCACAGCAGTCCATTTTACTATTAGGGTAGCTCTTTACTACAAAAGTTCTTCCTCATGCTGAATATAAATTTGTCTCTGGGGCTTTGCAAAATAAGACTAATGTCTCAACCTTTGCTTTGAGAACAGACATCACTAACTCTTTCAACTCTTTCCCATTTATGAACATGGTGTCGAGCCCAGTCACCCTTCTGTTTCTCCTTTGGCCAACTGGACAAATACAGTTCCTAATTTTATTTCAGTCTACTTGATGAAACTTCCTTGGAGTTGAAAGTAAATGGAATTGAAGTCACCCAAAAGAAACTGATGCTCAATGTGGAAAATTTCCCCAAGGACTCAGACCCAGGAGGATGTGGAAGGTAGATGAGACTAGATTGCCCATGTGTACAAAACAAACCTTTTACGACTTTGTGTCCTGTACAATTTTTGAGGTAGCCAAAATCAAAGTCATGCTGAAAACAAGAAGCAAGCTAATGTGTATGCCATCCATGAGATTCCCACTTCTTGATAAATGTTCATAGAGTCTCTGTAACCCTTTCCCTTTGTCTCTGTCTTCTCGGTAATAATACATTTCTTGTCCATTTTCCCACGCTGAAGATGCAAATAGAGTTATGGATACTTTATAGGTCCAACACAAATATTTACCGGCTGACTGGTTTTGAGATTGGCTTCCCTTCTGTGCTCAAATGTTTGTATCTGGAGATGCACTTTAAACCAAGCGAGCAGCTTCCCTACATGATCAGTTAAGAACTAGCCTTAGGAGTCCATATTTCTCTTTACTTTTGTCTTTCTAACCCCTTCATCCCTTAATCATCTCCTGAATCTAATAATTGCTATAAGAGAATCAGCCCCCATATAACTTTGATTCAGTCCAGCTGTAATAAGATCAAACAGGTTCACTATATACTCAGGAATATTGAACTGAGAAGGGCACTTCTTCCCAGTGGCATCAGTAGGGCTTCATGAAGGAGTGAAATTTGGTACAAAACCTTGGACTGATTCATTTGATTTGATGTAGACGTTGAAGGAAGAATATTTAAGTCACTAGAAACAGAAGAAAATCACAGGCTATATTCAGAGAATACCCTCTACCTTAAGTAGTATAGATTCTGGAATTTCCTTAACAGGTGAAAAAACTCCCAGATATTCAGGGTCAATGGAAAGGTAAAAGGCATAGAGGAAGCCTAATTCAACTGTTATTTTCTATCTTGTCTCTTTATAATTGAAAGATAGGATGAGCTGCCAAAATATAATCCAGCACCTACAGTATGAAGAGGGAATGTAGATACTCTACTCTTGGAGCAGACACATGTGTCTTTTGAACCCTTGCAAGAGAAGAGAAGCAAGACATCCTCATTTTCCTGTTGCTTTAGGCCCACAGTTGGAAAGGCCCCACCATCATCTCTTCCACTTGTGTATGAAACAAGTTAAAATTCCCTTACAGATTAATTGCTAAGTGGTAATTCAGCCTCTGCTTAAGCATCACCTGCATCAACAAGCTCTCGGGCCTTCCATTTCCCCCATCATACTTTGTTCTAAGCTCCCCCTGACTCTGAAGCAGAATGAGATTTGGGAATTATGTTCTCCAGAGTGCCACACAAAACTAATCTTTAGTACGTAATAAAATGTTCTTCCTCCCTTCATTTTCCTTTCAAATATGCTTATTTTCGTTTTGGCAACACATTACTTTCAAAAAAAAAAACTTTGATGTTTAGCTAAAGATTATAAAAACCTTTTTTTTTTTTAACTTTTTTTTTTATTTATTTTTGGGACAGAGAGAGACAGAGCATGAACGGGGGAGGGGCAGAGAGAGAGGAGACACAGAATCGGAAACAGGCTCCAAGCTCTGAGCCATCAGCCCAGAGCCCGACGCGGGGCTCGAACTCACGGACCGCAAGATCGTGACCTGGCTGAAGTCGGACGCTTAACCGACTGCGCCACCCAGGCGCCCCTATAAAAACCTTTAAACATCCTTAAAAATAGTCTGAAGGATTTTTTGAGGGTCAGGTTTTAGAGCTTATGACTTTTTTGTTGTTTTTATTTTCTTACTCAAAACACAAATTGCTCTGACACTTGTTACATAATGTTATGCCCTTTCCCAGTGACCAACCCATGAACAGTACACTCCAGTTACCTGGCCTACTGATAATGACCTTAAAATGTTGAAATATGTCAGGGGTTCCTGGGTGATTCAGTTGGCTAAGCATCCAACTCTTGGTTCCGGCCCAGGTCATGATCTCATGGTTTCGTGAGCTCGAGCCCCATGTCAGGCTCTGTGCTGACAGTACGGAGCCTGCTTGGGATTCTCTCTCTCTCTCTCTCTCTCTTTCTCTCTCTCTCTCTTTCTCTCTCTCTCCTTCCCTGCCCCACTCAGGCCCTCTCTGTCTCTCTCAAAAATAAATCAATAAACTTAAAAATTTTTGTATAAAAAAATGTTGAAATATGTCAGTGCATGATCTCCACTTCTAAAAAGGAAGAAGTCCAAAGCAAAAGTTCGTGGTTGTACTGAAACTCTTACTTCTGGCCAGTTGTTCTGTGCCAAAAGAAATCATTCTTGGGGGAAGGGGTTATACTATGCTCTTAGGTAGAAACGTATAAATTCTTTCATTGTTGCCCTGGCTTAACCATGTAGTTTCAGTACTTTTCCTCTCCAGTTTCAAGTTAGCCCTATTGGCAGAACCTGTCATGAGTCTCCTGGGCAGGACCTGGGGGTGGCTTTCCGAGCTCTAAAATAATAATTCCTAAGAGAGCTTACAAACTGCTTTCACACATGAAACAGCCCTGGGAGGAAGGTTATTAATAGCCCTATCCTAGAAG